TCAGCGGACAAAATAAGAAAGCTCGCCACGTCGAGCCGCCACCGCTGCCACGCGGCCCAATAGGGACGAGCCAGGAGGTCCCCCACGATGACAAGACTGCCACGACGCTCACGTCGTGGCCACGCGTCGCTCCGGCGGTGAGTCTTTCGCGCGGGAAGTCGACGCTCCCGCCAAAATTGTCGGTGCTCGATCCACGCGGCGCAGATCGGACCGTCAAGTCTGGTCGGTGTCGACCAAGTCATCTTACGGTCCACAACAGAGCCACGCGGCACAGTCACAACAGTGTCCACGTTCAATGAACCTAACCACACAAATAAGCGCGCCGACGGGTAGTCGGCGCCGATCACCAGGCGATCGCGGTAGGGTTGCCACGCGGCCCCGCAGTAATCCAGGGCCCCTGGGAGATGGTAGTCGGCATGCCGTTATTTCCGCTCTGGGGCGCCAATGTCGGGCCCACGCCACGTCACACACGCCCATTCCCTCGTGGAATGGCCCAGGCTTACGCCCCTTGGGTGCAGCGCGGCGTCCCAGGAGCCATGCTTGGCACGTGACACGTCGGACACTGCGCCGCCGCAGGAGAACGCATGCATAGCGGCAGCAGCATGGGGGGTTGCGTGAAGCGCGGCCGCTTCGGAGACGCTCGGGACCGTACTCCTTCGTGACCGTCCGCTTGTGCTCATTCCCTTGTCAGATCCTGCTTTCCTTCCTGCTCTCCGCTGCCTGTCTTTCTTCGCGACTGTAGGCTTGTCGGCTGCCGACTAATCGATCCCGTCGGCACGGGTTGCTTGTACGTGGTCGCTAACAATCAGGTCGGTGTTTAGGAAAACGAGAGGTCAGTACTTGTCGACGTCGACATAGGACGTGCCAGGGCAACATCGCCGCAAACTATCGACATCTTGGCCGACCTAGCAAGTCGGCGACGCATGGCCAGAGGTCGCCCTAGAGCCCAACAGCCCCAATCCATCCCACCCCCCGCCGACTCAGTAGACGACGACATCAAAGCGGAGCTGGAACGTCTTGAGGTCGAAGCCGAGTTAGACGCAATTGAGCGAGAATTCGAAGAAGACCGTTATTTCGCTCCCGTGACACAGTTCCGTCTCTGGTTTAACAACCTCCGCATCGCACACGGACGACGATAGCGCAATCATGGTAGACATGGCCGACGTCGACATGCCCGACGCTAGTCCCCCCACCGACCACAATCCTACATCTACCGACGAAGAGACGCTCCCGTTACTCTACGATCTTGACAAGCTAACGCAGATTCCGGAAGGAGAATTCACCAAGGACATTCCCCCACCGCCGATCGGGGAGTTCAACAAGAAAAAAAACAGCAGCCTGCACGAAATGGACAGCCCGGAACGTCGTCGGCACATGCCGGCTCTGGAAACCAAGTTGATGCCGAGGAGGAGGAGGATGAGGAGGAGGAGGAGGAGGAGGAGGAAAGCGATGACGAAAACGACGACCGTCCACCCCGTAGCACTAATCCGCGCACCTTGGACGAACGACTCAGGCGGGAGCTTGAATTCATAGATGAACTACTCGAAGAGGACGAGGACGCGGACCAGGAGAACATGTCGGTGCCGCGCGAACAGTGGAAGGCGGCAGACTTCGTCGAGGAAGACATGGTGTACGCGTGCATCGACGTGCTCGTCATGGACGCACTACGCCACCTGCAAACCCTGGAGAAGAACAGCACGCTGAGGCAGTACACCTCCTGGATATACCACTACAAGAGGTGGGCGGCGAAGATGTTGAGGCAGATAGGCGGCAAACTTCCCCAGGAGCACAGGCTTAAGCACGTCGACGAGATAGGCCACTACATCCGGGACAACAAGAAGAAGAATTGGGACCAGGAGGCCGATGTCCCCCGGGCGTACGTGTGGCTGCACGGCCCAAGGGTTACCATCACCCGGCTTCGCGCGTACGTGAAGTACATGGTGCGTGAGTGTAAGCTCGATGCCGAGTCCACCGAGGAGGGGGACAACGCCGCGCGAGCCCAGCCTGTGCACTCCACAACGGTGCACACGCTCCTCGGGCGCATAAAGGCATGCCAGATGGCGGCGAGAGTGGAGGCGACGCTCTACCGGGAGACGGAGCTGAGCATCATGCGGGAGATATCGGTGGTCAGGTCGGAGGTGCGGTTCATGATCCGCACCAAGAACGAGCGGGACATCAAGTAAGTGCAGGTTCAATCTGTGTTGATGTCGACGCCGCCCTGAATGACCCTTACCCTTGGCTTTGTGGGCAGGAATTGCGCCGATCGGCGTCGAGGAACCCTCGGCGATACCTACACCGCCGAACAGTTTCGGCAAATCATGATGAGGGTGCTGCCGACGTGGGCGGCGAAGGCGTGGAACCCGCGTGGAACGGGTCCTTTGCAGACACTGTGGAGGTTTCTGCTCATCAAGGTGCTCACGCTTCTCTCCCACCACAGCCTCCTGCGCGGTGCAAGCATCCGCGAGATCACGCTCCCCGACATCTTCTTGTACCGACTGGCGAGCACCTCGTCGGTGAACCCGGAGAACCAGCCGGTCGTAATGGTCATCGCTGCGCGGAACTCGAAGACGTCCAAGGATGCTCGTTTGCAGCAGAGCTACGCGGCGCGGCACCTCGAAGCGGAGTTGTGCGCCGTCGGCGAGACGGGCCTGTGGTTGCACTTCGTCCTCGACCAGATCGGCCAGTTTCACGGCGTCCGCCTCATTCCGCCGGTCGACACCAGCACACGCGCGAGCTGGTACAAGAAGCACCTTTTCTTCGCCAAAAACGACACCGACCAAGGGGAGCTCTCTGCGGCAAGCCACCAACGCTGGACGCGGCAGTTGTGGGACACCAACAAAGTGTTCTGCAAGAGGAACGTGCACGCCGCTCGAGCGGGAGGGGCCCAGGAGCTGGCCATCGACGGCACGCCGCGCGCCGAGATCGCGGAGCTGGGTCACTGGGCGCTCGACAAGATGACGCGGGCGTACATCACCGCCATTCCGGTGGGGGTGGTGATGAAGAAGGCCGGGTACTCTGGTTACAAGCAGGACTACTTCTTGGGGCGGAGCAGGGTGGAACCCACGGACAAGCTCCTGAAACTCCTCGCCGAGCACATATTCCCCGGCGTCGACGACATGCTGAAGACGGTAAGTTAGTCGACGCCATCGTAGCCCTGTCTTCGAGTCGTCTTGCCGACCGTGTCTGAACACCTAATACACGTGACGAATTGCAGGCAGAAGGGAAGGCTGTCGAGGGGTCCGACGCCGACAAAGCCGCGGTGCACTTCTGGCGCACACTCCAGATGCTGCGCCGCATCGTCGCCGAGGACCTAGCGGTGAAGCTGGTCCGCACACCATGGCACCCGTACGTCCAAGGTTCCAAGCTCTGCCGGATCCCCCTCTTCCAGCACTGGGCGAAACGGGTGGAGAGCGTCGACACCGAGACGATCAACAAGCGTCGCGACCCGACCCAAATACAGCCAGAGGTAAGTCGACGATACTGTCGCCGACGTGCAGTATGTAGTGTTAACCAAACCACCGCGGCCTTAACGTCTTTCTCCTACCGCTGCAGGAAATCTCGGTCCGCATGGACACCGAGTACTACAACATGTCCCTCAAGGCCCAGCTGCAGTCGGAAAGGGAGCGCGCCGCGAACGAGAAGATTGATCTCCTAGAGGAGATCGAGAAGCGCGACGACACCATCGCTGGGCTCACCGCCGAGCTAGCCCGTCTTACCGAGGCACTCAGCTTGTCGGAAGCACGGAGAGTGCCTGAGGCCCCGCCGTCGGCGCCCGTGCAAGCTCCCAGCGAGGGTGGCTCGGCGGATTCGGCCAGCACGGGGGCTGGAGCCAAGAGAGGGGATGACAAACCCCCGCCACCCCCACAGACGGACGAGGAGGCTAGTTACGAGCTCAACGTGGTGCAACCGTGGCGGGAGGCAAAGACTGTGAGGGACGCTTGGCGCCTATGGAACTCCGCCACCGCCAATGACACCCGTCGCCTTTGCGACAGGGTCGCCGAGAAGGGATTCGTCGCCCGCCACACCCTCCTCACAGGAAAGGGCGCGACGCAGGGTGGGCTCGACATGAAGGTGCGCCGCATGATGAAGGCCATGGATGCGGTGCGCCAGCTACGCGCGAGCGACGGCGACGCCGACACCGAGGCCGTGGTCGACGCACTGAACAGGATCGCGGCACCGGGCATTGGGACCTTCTGCGATGCCCTCACTGTGCTCAACCCAAAAACGGCACCGATGTTGTCCAAAGAGCCTGGCATGGGAGTCAAGGGGCTGGGCCCCAAGGTGGTCTCGAAGCTTCGCCTCGCCTGTGCGCTTGTGGCGCTCAACCTGAAGCCGAGAGATTGGCTCATCGGTCTGTTTCCAGACACCTGGGAGGAGCAGATGCCGAAGACCAAGGCCGACCTGGCGAAGCCGACCGCACCGGCCAAGTCGACAGCACCGGCCAAGCCGACCGCACCCGTGCAGCGTCCTCCGACCAAGCGCAAGAAGTCAGCATGAAGTCCCTCCTAGGATATGTGTCTGCGTAGTTTGATGCTGTTGATTTTGGCAGACTTAAACAAGCCCCCCTTTCCCCCCCCCCCCCCCTTCAAATACTGTTTCTGGTAGTTTGTAAACAACCCACATCAAGATCCTTGCGAACCCTACTTGTCGGTGAATGTTGTCGCTGACGACCAGTACGATAGGTGTCGCAAAACTCGATGTCGATCTTTTGCCGACAAAGCTCACCGCCGAGAACCATGTTTCTATTATGTCACCCGTCCTCGCCGACTAGCATGTGCATATCATGTCGACATATGCGCCGACTTGGCTCATCGGGTGATATTCGGTTAGCTTGTTTCTATGTGGACACCGATTTGTTCAACCCAAAGTGAAGCGAACAGAACTGTAGCAAAAAAGATTCTTGTTACGAAGAAAACATTTATCAAATCTACGCCGAAATCGGTGCCGGCCATACCGACATAGTACACACCCTAGCAACCTAGCACACATCCGTCCGCCGACTACTCATCCGTACTGTCCTTCGCCTGCTTCTCCGCCTTCGTCTTCTTCCTCTTGCTGCCCTTGCCCTGCTTGACCTTCAAACCCTTCCTCCCCCTGTGCTCCAAATCGTACTCCATCTTCGCGTCACACGGCACATCGATGCCCTCCGCTTTGAGCTTGGGCCCGGCGACGGGGCACATTCCCCAGAACGCCAAGGTCTCGACCGTCGCTCTTGCGATCATGTCGGCCTCGACTTCCCCGATTCCCGCCTCGAAGGCCCTGGCCACTCCATAGCGCTGCAGCTCTGGCGCGACGTTATGTGCAACCTCCCCCGCGGGAGCCTGCCGACTTTTTGCAAAGTCGATAACCGCGTGCATGACCTTCTTGAAGCGCTCGGCCCTCACCTCCCCTGCACCTGCCACCATCGCGGCCGCCTTCCCTTCGCCCACAGCACCGAGCACCGACGCACCCGTCGACATGTAGCACCAGAGGGCGCATGCAGATGCCGCTAACGCCTGGGCCCCCATCTCCGTCTTCTCGTCCGCCTTCCCCTCCGTGCCTTCCATCTCCGCGTTCTCACCCGCCTTCCCCTCCGCGCTCGCATCGACCTTCCCAAACGCCACGCTCGCCGCAACCTTCCCATACGCCGCGCACATCGACACGCGATTTACCATCGCCGACAAGAGAGCGGTTGTCTCCGCCTTGTCTGCCTCAGTGTCTTCGATGATGGGGAACCATATCGCCGGCCAGAGCACGTCATGAAGCGCATCACCCGAGCTCGCGTACCCACGGTACCTGCCGAGTATATCGTCGAACCTGCCGCGCAAAAACATTAAAACAGCACGACGTGGTCGACATCAGCGATATTGACACCGACTTGGTCGACAGAATTCGGCACGTCGGTATCCGACTTACATTGCTCTGGGATGGCACAAGCCTCTGGCCCACATCACCGTCCACATCCCGGTCGACAGGAACCTGAGCTCCTCCCATACCGCCTTCCATTCATCCAACTGCCCCGGCTTCAAGACGGTGAGCTCCTTCATCAGCACCTTGCTCACGTAGCCGTCGTAGAGCAAGTACGCAATCGCGTGCTCGTAGGCCAGCTCCATCTTCTCGCGCGACTTGCCGATGTACCGATTCTGGCCCTTAATCTTGATCTCGCCCACCCACCCAAGCCCGTTGCCAGACCTGTCTCGGCGGATGCCATGACCCCGGCGTCCATGCTCTTCCTCCTCCTCCCCCTCCTCCTCTTCCTCCTCTTCCGCCTTCGCCTTCCTCTTCGCCGGCTTATGATTGCCGCCCGTCTTGTCCTGATTCCGTGCCGGCTTCTTCCCTTTCTCTTCCGACATCTCATTCCCCGCCGACATCGCCCATGTGCTACTCTGAGAGACCGCCTTCCCTTTCCCGTTGTCGTCCTTCCCCTTCCGTCCCGCATTTCCCTCGGCGACAGCAGCCGTTGCAGCCGTCGGCTCCGCCGAACCCCCTCCGTGGGTTCCCGACGGCTCCGCATGTGCCGTGTCCATGATGGCTAGTGCTGGGGCATGCTCGGGGCGTTTTGCTGCTTCAAATTGAGCCAGAACGGCAGCGAGGTTGGCATGCCTGTCGGCTCGGCCGCCGGTGGCTAGCGCTGCGCTCAGACCCTTCTCCGCCGCAGCATCGACCACAGCTGCACCTGGTGTGGGTGAAGTCGCGTTTACCGACGTCGGCGTCGCGCTTTTGCCGGGTTCCGGCTGAGTCACTTGTCGAGCTCCCGCTTTGCGTGCGCCTAAATGGGCGCGAAGAAACGCGGATTTGGGTTCCGCGGGCGGTGGGGCGGCGACTATAGGAACGGCAGGTGGGGCACCGGTCGATTTGCCGGCAACCTGCGAAGTGACTGAGCGACGTGCTGTTTCGGCAAGGGCGGCGTCGACCACTGGAGGCTGCTGCACGTCCCTGCGATGTGCATCCATGCGGCGGAGCATCTCCCTGAGCGCCTTACTGCCGGCGGGCACCTTAGCAGGTGACGGACCTTCGGGCTCAGCCGCAGCAGCCGTCGCGTCGCCCTTGTCGGCAGTTGGTGCTGCTGGAGCTGGAGGTGCCGCAATGGCCGGCCCATCGTTGTTGGCGCCTGACTTGCCGGCCGGCGCGGGGGTAGCCGCTGGGGGCTTACGGGGAATCGACTTGGCAGAGGCGGCCGTCGCGTTGCCCTTGTCGGCAGTAGGTGCTGCTGGAGCTGGAGGGGCCGCAATGGCCGGCCCATCGTTGTTGGCGCCTGACTTGCCGGCCGGCGCGGGGGTAGCCGCTGGGGGCTTACGGGGAATTGACTTGGCAGAGGCGGCCTTCGCGTTGCCCTTGGCCGCCATCGCGACGGACGGTCCCTTGGTGGTTCCGGCGCCGCCGTCGTTCGCCACCTGAGCAGTAGGGGCCTCCAAGTCGGACACGCCTTTCCCGGAGCTCGCCTGCGGTTTGGTCTGCTCGGCGACCAAAGGCGGGCCAGGCGGTGCAGCGACGTTAGCGGCAACCCCGTCGGCAGGGCCACCCTCTGCCCCCCACTACCGCTTCCCTTGCTGTTCGACGTCCTTATCACCTTCCACCCTGCCTTCGACTTTAGCTGTTCGACCACGCTCTGAGCAGGAGGCTTCGTGCCGCGGCTCCCGTCCGATCCCTTGCTCCGCTTCACGCTCTCCTTGTCGTCTCCGTCGCCCGTCCTCTTCTCGCCCTGCTTGTCGGCCGCCCTCCTTTGCGCTTGATCTGCGTCATTGGCCGACGGCGACGACCCACGTCGAACAGGCGCCACAGTGCCGATCATCTCGGTCAACATCTTCATCCCGGAAGCAACGAACGACTGCTGGGTGGCCTCCGTCACCGTCTTCATGATGTCGGCCTTGAACGACTTCAAGAGCTCTTCCGGGAGGGCGGGCGGCGTGGGCTGAGGCGGTGGCGGCGGCTGCACGGGGAGCCTGGAGGTCACAGCGGTGGCGATGTTGACCTGCGCGGCGGATAGTTGCGTCGTGATGTACAGCTCCAAACCCCGCCTCGCAGCGCCCACCACCCCCTTCACGTGCTCGGCCAAGGCGTCGACAGCTTCAGCGCGTGCACATGCCACACGACCCTCCGGATTGTCGAAGTCCTCGCCGACGCCTGTTCCGCGAATGTCTTCATCGTCTTCCACGCTTCGTCGAAGCTGCCGGTGATGTTGCCCGTGATGGTCTGCGACATGGCCTCCGCCGCGTTTCGCAGCTGGTGCGCCGCAAACTTGTCGGTGTCGTCGATCTGTTCGGCCAACTCTTTAAGGTGGTCGACGAGTCCACGTAACCCACCAAAAAACCCGTCCAGCCGAGCCTGCTCCTCATCGAGCAACGCCTTCAGCCGAGCGTTCTCCGCCCTCAACAGCAAGTTCTCCCGCAGCAGTTCCTCGACGTCGACCTGCTCCGGGCCCTGCCGACCAGTTGCTTCCTCCGTCTCCTGCATGCCCGTGATGTTCGCCTCTTGGCCGGCGTCGACCGACACCTTCTCACCTTCGCATGCCGCCTCCTCCTGGCCCTGTTCCGTCGTTGCCTCCGCGCCAACCTCATCCTTCTCCTTCCCCCCATCTTCTGCCGACCTTGTAGCATTACCCGCATCGCCATCCTCCGCTTCCTCGTTCTTTTCATCCGCCGACCCCAACGCCACAACCGTACCGTCTTCGTACTGCAGCTCGTACTGCACCTCGGCCTCCACCCCCTCCTCGTCGTTCTCCGCCTCATCCTTCCTTCTTCCTCAACCTCCACCACCTCATCGTTCTCGTCCTCGTCCTCCTCCTCCTCCAAGCTTGTGATGGCGGCGCCCCGTCCCACTTCCTACCGGGACGCCCCAGCTCGGCCAGGACAGCCGTGCGGAATAGCCTGGAGCATCGTAGTAAAAAGAAAAAGGTCAGCATGTGATACCCTGTGTCGGCGACTAACAAGCAAGAAAGCGACGACTATTCACAACTTACTTCAGCACGCGGACGGCCTCGTCGCGGTGCTTCAGTTTCCCGGTATGCGGGTCGATGTGCCGGATCGAGGTCCTGCAGACCTGTCCCTCGGCCTTCAGCAGATCTCCTGGGTAGAGGATGGCTATGACGCTGCAGTGTGACCCTGGAAGCGGGCCGCCGCTGCACATGCAAGACGGCGTCGACCACATCATTAGGCGATGATGCGACCGACTACACAAAACGACAACGGGACAACGGGGAACCAGCTCACGTCGATCGCAATGGGATAGCGGCGATGTCGGCGTCGAAAACCGTCGCAAAGCAAGAATGGTCGGCGGCCTTCATGGCCGATCGAAGCGGGCCGACTCCGATTACCCACAACCGCTGGTCGTCCCGACCAATGCGAAACCAAGCGAACCTGAGGGCACGAGTGAGCATGGGGGAAGATAACATGGCTGGTGAGCAAACGCTACCAGGTCGACGTCGACCGTACGTCAAACGCGGACAGTACGTGGTCGACGCTTGCTTTGCCGACCGACGTCCCTGGACGGGGACCATGCCTATTCTCGCGTACTCGGACGTACGTCTGATGACAAATATCGACAATGCGACTTCGGACGGAGCTAGAGTTAGTCGGTGCCGCCATCGACACTATTCAACCACCGCGACTACCCGAGTCCCACCTGATGCCTAGTCCCAAGCATCTCTCGTTGAACTCTATCCTATGGTCGCGAAGGACGGCGAAGTCGTTCCACTCGAAGGTGAAGCTGAGACCGCGACCCATTCGCACACGAAGGGGAAAGTCAGCCGAAGTCGGCGCCGACTTATCGGCGTCGGGGCTCGGCTCCATATCTATAGACTAACAAAAGACGCGGACGGCTAAGGTAGGAGAGAGGGGAGGCGCAGTCAAGGTCTGAAAATCGAAACGAGATGCGGAAAATGAGGAGCGAAGCCACGTTCCGCCAAGAAAAGGAGGTGGTGCCCCACCCCAGGCCCGTTCAGCATCGCCCAAGGGTGTGGGGCCTGTCTCGGCAGGGCTCGGAGGGCGCATGCGCAAGTGGCACGGGTGGCCCGTCTCCGCCTTGGCAGGGCGTCGACTTCGCGTCCATTGGCCCAGGTCGGCGAGGGGACGCACACCTCGCATGCGCGCGGAGCGACGCTACGGCCGACACGTGTCGATTTCGTAGCGGATCCCGATGCGAGAGGTTTTCGATTTCGCAGCGTGAGAAATTTCGCATGCGCCCGATGCGAAGCCACGGGCGAACACGTGGCGCCACCGCAACGGGTCGCGAAATTGTCGAGTGTCCCGAGGGGGCCCCGAATTTTCGCACGGCCCTCGCCTGCCCGTCCGGGCAGGCCGCGATGGGTTACTAGGACCTCGCGGGCAGGTGGCACGTGTGGGCTGCCTTCGCGCGAGGGTAACTTTCCCTCGCGCGAGGGGTCGCCAGCTCGCCGACCCCACCCGGTAACGTGGGTCGCTGTTCACGTTCGGAGCGGGGCTGCGGGGCGGCGGTCGTGCGCTCGGCCCAGCCCTGGGCCAGGCTGGCGGGCCCGCACGCGCGTCAGTCGCCCGCCTCGTCAGACCCGGCTCCGACGACCCCTCCTGTCGACACTGGCAAAACCGCTCCGACGACCTTTTTCCGATGAGGCTTTCGAATACTTGACTGACATTCAACCTGAAACGACGTGCTTCTCTGATACGTCAGCTGGATTCCGGCATGGCCTCCATTGGTTGCAAACATTTTTCCTGTGATTGTGGTGGGAAACTTGAGGCTTTGCCGAACGCGTTTGCTGGATCATGTTGCATATGAAGGATACATATTTGAACTTAGCATGACGGTTCATTATTCCGCGGTGCCTTGAAGGCTTCAACTGGAGCCTTCCATTCCCCAGCAGTGATCGAGCTCCTGTGAGACTCAACTTCACCCGATGGCTTCCCCTTCCACGCTTTCTCTGCCTCCGCCGTGGGTCTCCCCCTCGTCTCCGCCACTCGTCGATCCGCATTCCCCGCAGCGGCAAGCCGGAACGCCAGAGCGAAGCCCGTCGCTAGTATCTGTAGCAGCGGTTTCCAGCGATCGTAACGATGGCGGCGCCGGCGGGTGCAGTGGGTGCAGCGGGTGCAGTGGGCGCAGCGGGCGGAGTTGGGGGGAGTGTACACGCGCTTCCGTTCTGCCTCGCGATAGCTTGCGTTATGGCCGTTGTTGTGGTTATCGCTCTTGTCACATTCACAACTCGTTACTACGCATGTGCCTACATACTGCGGTATGTAACTAGCAGACGAGCGAGGAACAACGGTTCGTCGCCGGCTACAAGTAACGGTGCTGATCAGCAAGCACCCGCGGGACTGGACGCGGAGCGAATCGCGACGTTCCCTGTGTGGTCGTACTGCCTTTTCCCCGCTGTTGCGGGAGATCTTCCCGCTGGAAGCCAAGGCAATGACGCGAACGGTACGCATGGAGTTACTACTAACACAGCTGCGTTAATTACAGGAAAAGAGATTGCTTCAGGCGCCGACGCCGCTAACTTGTCCATAACACCAGAACTTCGAGTGGGTTATTTGTCTACACGGGAGAGGCTGTTATCGAGCTCGGAGTGTACAGTGTGTTTGAGTGACTTCAACGAGGGGGAGTTGATCCGGTTCCTTTGGCCATGCGAGCATCAGTTCCACGTCACGTGCATCGATCATTGGCTCGCCACCAAGACCACGTGTCCCGTGTGCCGAACGGACCTCCGATTGCCAGATCCGGCGATTGCGATTACCAAGGATTTGGAGGTAACTAAGGTGGAGGGAGGAGACGACAACGAAGTCTGACGCATAAAATATCTTCAAAACACATCAGAACATAATTTCTCAACCAGGGTGGGCCGATGCTAGGCAAGCACTAGATATAAGCTAGTATTCTTTTCTCTCTCTATCAGCGCGCATTAACGACGCCGGAGTGGTTGTATACGAGAACCAGAAAGGAGACACAACCGTCGAAGGCGGCGGAGAGCTAAGGCAAGAGTGGAGAGGGTGCAGCTCGTTTCCCTCCCAAGCGAGCATCTCTGCGGCGTGGTGGGACTCGGTCGAACGCGGTTATTCTCAGTCATATGCTGAATTCAGTAATCAGTGTCATCGGAGGAATGGTGTATTCTTTCATTGCTGGGTTTTCAATTTGGAATATAAATGTATTGAATTAAAACCAACCACCATTCTAGGATGGATTTCTGCTCTAAGATTGCAAAACCAAGCATGCACACGTATGTATTTTACTTGTTATGTTTAAACAACTGAGCTAGCACATACCTGTAGCTGCACAAGATGCGGCAGCTTTTTCATTGGGGGGATTCAGGAAGGACCCTAGCAGTAATATGCTTTTGTGAGACAACTACTTCACCCACACCACTCCCCCCATCTACCGTAATCACCCGGATAAAGACCCCCCCCAGTTGTAGACCCCCGAGTATATAATACGGACGTGGGTCTTATAATTAAGTATGTTTTTGTTATACCCCCCTTTTTGGCTGAAAACATTATAAGACCCCCCACCTTTACACCGAACGTGTAATTTTATAATATAATAGAGTCGTTTTGTGAAGGAGAACATAATGTTTCCTCTTCGGATGAAGTCACGTGCGTATCGCACCGTCAATTTTGTGCATTCTTTTGTTTTTTCCGACATTACGAGGCTCATGAATCAAAGCTTGACCAGTTGCGAGGGTGATGCCACCTGGCAAATGCCTGACTGTGCGATTCTCATTGGCTACGTGGTTGTCCAATCAGAGAGCAATATCTGGATTTCACATTCACAAACAGTCGTCACAAAAACATCCTCGACGTACCGCTTTTTTCCGGAATCTAAAAACGAATCAAACACCAACATGAGCTTTGCATTCAAATACAAGTGAAAAAAACATGTTCATTTGTTAAGACCCCGGGTCTTATATTACTATGACAATATGAGAAGACCCCCCACCATTTTTTCCCGTAGTTTTCATAAGACCCTAGGGTCTTATATCCGGGTGATTAAGGTACCTCCCCCTACCCCTCATCCCTCCCTCCTCCCCGTCCCCCTCCCTCCACGGCCTGACGGTGACCAACCCACTCGCCCCCCTCGCCCCCCCCTCCCTCCCCCTCTTCCACCTGCTTCCCCCCCTCTAACCCCCCCACCTACTAACCCTACCGCCTCCCCCACGACCCCTTCCCCTGCCTCTCCCCCTACCCCTCCCCCCTCCTCTGCCGCGCCCAAAGCCTCTCCCCCTACTGCCTTCATATCCGCCCCCGACAAAGGCTGGTAGGGGAAGAGGGAGGGCGGGGAGGGTTGGGTTGAACAGCAAGAGTGAGTATGCAGGGATGAGAGTTCACAACATGGTAACGTTACAACATGTGAATATGCACAATGCGACGCCTCTCTCGCAAAGAGGGACTGAAAGGAAGGCAAGGGACTTAAAGCAAGCCGAGGTGGCAGGAGAGTAGGTAGGGGAAGAGGTAGGAGAGGCAGTGAGAAAGGAGGAGAATCACTCACTGTTATCGGGCTGCTCGCCAACGTCCTTGCGATACCAGTCTACGTCATCCTCCTCCTCCTTGTGAGGTTGGAGTGTGGAAGCAGCAGAGCGAGGAAGGTAATGGACTTAAGCAAGCAGAGGAGGTAGAAGGAGATGAAAAGCACTCACTGTCATCGGGCTCCTCGCCAACCTCCTTGCGATACCAGTCCACATCATCCTCCTCCTCCTCCTCCCCTCACCCTCCCTCACCCCCACCGCCTTCCCTTGCTCTTCCTCCTCATCGCTCTCCTCCCCCCCTGATGCCTTGCCCTTGGATGCTTTGAGCCTGGCGGTAAGAAAAAAGGGGGGGGGGGGGGGGGGGAGTGTGGAGAAGGGTGGAGAGGCAGGAAATTAAATTGAGAGGTCTTCCTTCCTCTTCAGTCCCTGCATTCCTCCTCATCGCTGTCCTCCCCACCAGCTGCCTTGCCTTTGGACGTCTTGAGCCTGGCGGTAAGAACAGGGGTGGAGAAGGGTTGGGAGATGGGAGCAGCAGGAATGTGAACGAAAACCAAAGACCCGTTTTCCTTCCTCATGATTCTCCTTACCTTCCTACCCCCTCATCCGCCTTTGCCCTTACCGCCCGAAATCGTAATGGGAGGAGGGGCGGGAACAGAAGGGGGAAGAAGGAGCAGAGGGAGCAGCAAAGGTGCGAGTATTTTTTTTTTAGAATTCTAAAAAAACATATTCAGCATACAAGGGAAAGAGGGACCCTTCCTCCGCCTCACTGGCATCCCCGTCTTTCCCCTCAGCAGCCAGCCATGCCCATAGCAGCCTTAAGCCCCTCCTCGCCCCACTGGGATCCCACCCACATCTTCTCTTCGTCCCACGTGTTACTCCTATTCCTCCTCACATCTCTCTAACCTGCAGCCCTCGCTTCTCTCCCCTGGTCCAGAAATCGCATCTCCTCTTGTAAAAAGATTATTTTTGAGACGTCTAAAAAAAAATCGCATCTCCTCACTCCACACGTTCATCTCCTGCCCCTCGTTGCGCCCTCCCTGCCCTCCCTCCCCCCCCTTCCCCCCACTTTCCCCCGTTGGCCCCTCCTGCCCCTCCCTGCCCTCCCTCCCCCCCCTTCCCCCCACTTTCCCCCGTTGGCCCC